GTTTTGGCAGTTGACTTGATTGTTTGTTTAGCTGGTGTAGTTGTTCTTTTAGTTGTTCATTCTCATCTTTAAGAGTCTTGATCGTTCTCTCTGTTTCCTTCTCTTTGTCGATCTTGTTGCTTAGAAGCCCTTGCATCTTTTGTATTGCTGATAAAAGCTCTTTGTTTCTGTTAAAAGCAGTCTCGAAACACGACTTTAAATGACCCTCAAGATCACACAGTTCACCAGTCCAAGGACATCCTTTACTTTTATACTTACAATACACCTTTAGGTCTAGCACTTGCCTCTCCACCATTTTATCTAACACAGTGTAATATTCTTTTTCTTGACAACAAGGGCATGGACCTCCTGCTTGTTGTACTCTGTAGATACAGGAATGACAGAGCTTCCTGCCACAGCATGTGATGAGATGTGGGCTCTTAATTGGTAGGAGACATATTGGGCAGGTTAATTCATCAGGAGGGTCTTCTATAAGCTCACAATCATAGCCACCATCTTGTCCCCAATCCATTTTTGAGTGGGTGTAGCCTTGAATGTTTTCTGAAGCCATAATTACAATGTACTCCATTCAGATAGTTTTGTAGTACATTTTTTGTTATAATAATAATAATGTTGATGCGAATTATTTGTATAGAAACAAGCAAATGTACATTCCCACTATATTAATTTTACTTTGGCATTAATGATTTGTTGATGTCTCCTCTTTTTCATGATCTCTCTGTCTCTTAATACATGTACTGTACATACATATACATGTAAATTTATACACATAATTGTTTATTCTTTTTCATCTATTTCTATTTCCTTACTTCACATACATGTACATTATTAGGTAACTTATTATGATGAGATGAAGGAAATAATGGCTGAGCGAGCCAAGAGAAACAGACAAGAATTTGAGAGTCTTCCCCCAGAGCAGAGGCAGGACTATATAGGGGTACAACCTGGTGCTTATGTCCGTCTAGAGATACCAGTTAGCAAAATAATGATATCAATCAATCAGTACTTCAATCAATACTATTGTATAGCAGTTGTTATATATATATATATATATATATGTATGTAGGTTGTAGGATAATAATTTTTGCTAATGACCTATATCTGAAGTTCGCAAATGATTTATATGAAATTTTATTTTACAGACACTTCAAAAAATCTACAAAATTTGTTATATTAAAAAAATTGTCGTGCAATACACAATTCATAATGTTACTATTTTTATCTCTTGTGTTACTATTTTTAGAACATACCTTGTGAGTTTGTCCAGCACTTTGATCCATCCTATCCCATAATAGTCGGCAGTCTACTCCCTGGAGAAGAGAAGCTAGGGTACGTCCGCGTCAGAATGAAGCGTCATCGCTGGTACAAGAAGATTTTAAAGTCACACGACCCCCTGATTGTGTCTATGGGATGGCGTAGGTTCCAGACCCTGTGTGTGTATTCAGTGGAGGATCACAATGGGAGGAGACGAATGCTCAAGTATACTCCAGAGCACATTCACTGCATGGCTTCTTTTTATGGTGAGTGTACTGCATGTACATGTACATGTAGTGTATATATTTTTTAAATTGAAATATATTGATTTTAAAGTTGCATGTACAATTAAATGACTG